ATGAGCAAGGATTCGGAAGCATATACTCATATATATAATACAAGTGTCAAATTTAAATGGCACATAACTCTTGATATTACTCTATCCTGCAAATGACAGGCTAATATACTCATTCATCAATAATAGCTTTCACTCACTAAAATGATCATCAACTCTTTACACAAAAATTAAAAACTAAAATATAAGGCCGTTTCCTTATTCATCTTATTTTTGAAGCTTATTTTTGTAAAATACCCTATTTTGGTTTGATTTAAGTGTGTACATTAAATAAATATTTTGGTTTGGAAAGAGTCAAAAAGAAACTTTACCTACTTAAATCAAATAACCTTTTTTAGGCTGTTTGGAGGAAGCAATAGACTAGTGTTTAGAAATAAGACAAATCAGGACAAGGCTTAAGGCTCCTAAGTTGTCTTAATGCTTAATAACCATCTATTTAGCCGTCTTTTAAGTATCGACTAAATAGCCAAGCAAAAGAATTTTTTTTTAAAAAAAAACAAAACAAAGAAACAAGAATAAAATACGAAAAATAGCAATGCCACCAAATACCAGGGATCCAAACCGAACCTGAACCGAATCATTAAATTGCGAAAAACCGGTATTTTTATCAAACCCAAACCGAACCTAAACCTCTAGCCGAACCTGAACCGAACCGCTAAAATGCCTCTGAACCGGTTCGAGTCTCATAATTTTATGCTTATAAAATAATGTGTAAGTTATTACTATTAGTATATTGCAAAAATTTTAATTCTATTCAAATTGTTTTAAAAATTATTATCAATAACATTTGATTGATAAACGTCAGTCATAATTTTTATAAACTTTAGTATATTGCCATTTTACAACATTTTTTAAATATTTTAAGCTTATAAATTATAATGCCTAGAAAAAAATTAAATCTAATATATAAATTATTTACATATAGTATTATAAATGACACATCAAATGTGATATCATACTGGCAATGCCAGCTACCCAAGTTAGTGTGGAAAGATGTTTTTCAACAATTAAATTTATATTATTTCCTTATAGATGTAATTTGAGTGAGGCGAATTTTGAAAATATATTAATTGTGCGGCTTAATAAAAAAATTTTAAATAATTGTTCATATTAAAATTATTTATTGATATATTTATTTGTTATATTTATAAATTAAATATTATTTTATAATGTGCAATTAATAAAAAAGAAGGTTTTTATTTTAATTATGAAATAAAAAAAGAATTTCCTTATACATAATCCTAAAGAAGGTTTGAATACAAAAGTGTTCAAATCGGGTTTTAGAGGTTCGAACCGAACCAATATTTTTATTTTTTGCGAACCGAACCTGAACCTTGAACCGTTATTTTTATCCGAACCTGAACCGAACCGATATTCGTTTCGGTTTGGATCCCTGCCAAATACTTAAAATAAACCAAAATAGGTTGTCCTCGATCAAATATTTTTTAGACTATACTAAAAAGCAATTGAGTATCCAAATTAAGCCGACATAGGACATTTCCCAAAGGTTTTTTATATGCTCACAAAGGTAATTTTAGAGAAAAAATTTATGGGCACCCAAAATAGGGTGGAGAAATGCATATCATCAGCATAAATCTTAAATGATTATAACATAATAACTACTTAAAAGACGAGATATTGTGATTTTATAAATTGACGCGATCTGCCATTAATATGAATAGTCAATAAAGGGTATCCTTAAACATTTTTTTATTATTAAATTATTAATGATAAAGTTTAATAATGTGGAACTTGAGGGGAGGAGGGGATTATGATACAAAATCATCTTGAAATTAAATGGGGTAAGAAAGGGGATAAAGGGTAAAAGAAGATCCTGGTGGGGAAGAATTATTACTAGCAGGTAACTGTGATAGGTATACAGAAAGTGTTATGCAAATAATTTATTATATATTTTATTTTATTTAATTTTTATAATTTTATTATATTCCTTCGTGCTATCTTAAATTCGGTTGTCTTCCTATTAATTTTTTATTTTCGATTCCATATAACTTCTCCCAAAAGAAATATAGATAAATATGTAAGTGGGGAATTATTAGAACAGATAAAAGGCTTAGCCATATTAGAAGGTGTCATTCAAATACGGAAATAGGAAAGATTAGAAATGTCCACAAAAATAATAAAGTTTATACTATCGTTTTAAATAACACTCATCCATTCTTAAAATATATTATATATAAGATGTTTTACCAAAATAGTTTTAAAAATGGCAACAATTATTTGATAGGGAAGATAAGAAAGCTTAAGCTTATTCTATGAATATTTTTATGAGAATGGCCAAATACCCCCCAAATGAGCCATAGAGTCAGTTAAAAATTAGAAGAATTGCAGCTAATGTAGGGACTAAAAAATACCCAACCTCATCTCTCAAAAAAAGAATTTTAATTTTAAAATTATAAATATAATTTGGGCACAGTTGGTACCAAGATTTTGGCCCAACTTAGACAGTTACCCAATTTTTCGAACTTTTTACTTTGTAATTAATAGATAGTATTTAACAGAAAAAAAATTGATTGGGACTGAAAAATTTGATTAAATTAGGGAGTTTCCCGAATTATCAAGAGATAAAATTAGACATGTTTTACTGTATTTAACCAGAATTGCTAAAGTAGGGCACTACAAGTTATCTTGTTATTTTTTTGGTAGCCATAGCTAATAGCGCACTATTTTTGGCATTGAGTTACATGTTATTTTTTTAAAAAAATATATAAATGAAGTGGAAGTTACATAAGAAGAAAATGGAATTTATGAAAACTTTAATAAGTTTCTAAAAAGTATTTTAAAAATGTATGAAAAATCAAAATCGGGATATAAATTTCATGTTTAAATTGTAAAAAAGTACTTTATATAAATTCTATTTAATAAACTTTTAAAAATATTTATAAAATGTATGATTCATTTCATATACACAAATAAAATTCATTATAAAAAAAGATATATTAGTAATTATTTTGAAGGAGCTGTATCTAATAGGGCGCCACTTGGGTTTGATAGGTTAAAATAGCGGTAGAGCTCCCTTTTTGACAAATAGCGGTAGCGCACTTTTTTTAAAAATAACGTTTAACAACACTGTAGTTAACTAGCATGCCGATTTATTTATATCTATTACGTATAGCTAAAGTAATCTTGCATTCACAGTTAGTGAATTTGCAGCAAAGTATACAAAAATAAATGTAAAATTATTATATTTATAACGTATCTTGGATACTTCGTCGTAAATTCGTGCTAACTGATGCATGGCAACGCTTGAAGGAAAATTAACCAAACTCCTTAGCCCATGCCTAATTAGTTTTAGACGAATTTTAGTGTAAGTCATTTTTAAGTCAGCTAAAATTAGCCGATTACGCAAAATTAAATTCTTGGTACGGAATGCGAACAGTGGGGTTGCAACTTTTTTTGAGGTTTTTCCGGAATATTTTTCGGGGCTACCATGATTAACAAATTAATATATTTAAATGATTTTTTAATTATATTAAACCCAATTTACTAATAAATAAAACTTTATTGCAACAAGTTTGAAATTAAATAAACTGATTGCACTTGACTATTATATTTCCATCAAATCAAGATTTTGAGATGTCTTAGTTTAAATTCCTTAATCTCAGCTGTTTAGTGTTGTTAAAAAGCCAGATTTTAAACGGCCCATTAAGATTATAGCTAAAATAATATTATGTTAGCCTCGAGATTTGGTAGAGGTCTAAGCCTTTCTACCACCTATGTGCAAAATATCCAGTTTTATATAATACTATTTTGCCTAAAAATCTTAATCAGGCCGTTTTTTTAAATCCTTTTTTAATACTAAGGTTGTGATATTAAAGTACTAAGGTGTTTTTATTAATTAAATTTGAAACGCTATCTTCCATAGTTGTTGGTCATCACCATCACATGAGAATTAAAAGATAACCTGTGATAAAATTATAAAAATATGATTTTACTTATGTAATCAATTCAAGCCTTTTTAGATCATTTTAATTTATCGATATCTTTATGTACATTTGAAAATAAAGTATTAAATCTTATTCATTGGAAAATTTGTTTATTATACTGTTCTTTGATAATTTTATTTTAATATTAATAGTCTGTTGATGAAGTTTTTGTATACTAAAAAACTATCATATTTCGGGATAAAAAGATAAAGGTTATATTTAGTATAGTATACAGCGTCTACATGACAGGATTTTCACTGGATGCAAACCCCCTTCGAAAACCTTTACCTACCCCCCTAAAAAATCACGCCACCTTCGGCGGCGATATTTCCCCATTATTATTTTCACCTTTTTAATTATAATGATACTCTTTTCAGAGAATTTATAAAGGATAACTTAAATTAATCTATCTCTACTACCAACTATCGATATTTTGTTAATATAAAGGATTTATTTTTTAGATAATAAATTCAATTAAATCCTCCATTATTTACAATGAATTCATTATTATAACTTTATGAGCTTGCTGAAATATCTAAACGCAGAAAGTTTTATTTGGAAAACAATGTGTATGATTGTTTGCAATATATAGATTTGGTCGATGAATTGTATTATAATAGTTCTATAATAAAAATTTTTACAGCAATAAATTTTGTAATATTTTATCTCAAAATTCAATAGATAACCCCCCAAAAAATTTATCCTACTCCCATTAAAGCTGCCTACCCCCTCCAAAAAATATGATGCAAACTGTTCCTAGCTCATGTAGACGCTGGATTTATATATTCATTCATTACTGAATTTTTACTAAAAAATATTAATTTTTTAAAGGCTTAGAAACCATATGACGGGGTAAATTGGTTTTTCAAAATTCAACAATTCTCATTGTAAAACACTTTCGAAATATAAATCTACTAGTTTTTCTTAAAAATATTTTCTTAAATCTTTTCCTTTACAATAATAAAAAATGACAATAGAAAATAATATAAATGCCATTCTAACATGTAACGATTTATTTCTATCTATCGTTAGCTATCAAATTTAACCATCTGATTTTGGCAAGATCCCCCAAAATAAGCATATTTTGGAATGATATTGTATGGAAGATTGAGTTTTATTATTATTCGAACTCGAAGCATGTACATTTTTTTAATTATAACAATATTTTTTTTAATTTTAGAATTAATTATCTCAAATTACACATCAAAATTTTCATTTGATCAAGCTCTCACTTGTTCACCTTTAAATGCTAGGTATTCAAATTATAAATGCTTTCATAGCATTTTACCACGATATCCTTCATTAATTCTTTATGATACGACATTTAAAAAGAATAATAATTCAAAAAATGAATTAATATCTCTGAAGCCTAGAGAACCTGAAATTCCCAATGAAAATGATAAAAATTTACCCTTATGGCAACGTTTCAAAATCATGATGAAAAAATACTGGTATGTTTTAATACCAGTACATGCAATAACTACTGCTTTTTGGTTAACTTCATTTTGGTATGCAGCCAAATGGTCAGTCATTCAAATGGTTATAAATTAATTATTTTTAATAGTGGGCTTGATATTATTCCCTTACTAGAAAAGTTATCTATTCCAGAAAAATATATTGACCCTATAAAGAAAAGTGGTGCCACAAATATTGCTATAGCTTTTGCATTATGTAAAATAATTAGTCCTATAAGGTATCTGGTTACTCTTGGAGGTAAAATTGCTTAAATTAATTATTTTTATTATTAATTATAGTATCAACATTTTCAATAAATTATTTGAGAAAATTTGGTTATATAAAACCTATACCTTCTAGCCAGCAAATTAAAAGGATTGTGAGAAATTTAAGAGAAGAAAGAATTAAAAAAAGAAAAAATATAAAAAAAAATTGATTGATATATTATTTAAATAAAATAAAAGTTATTATATAATATAATAGGAAATAATCACAATAGAATATATTTTAGTTTATATTTAATTATATAAATTTTAAAAAAAATTAAGCAATCCAAAATTTATATTATGATTATTAACTATAATATTTAAATGACTATAACATGGAAAATGTGCAGCAAATTATATCTTTTTTTAATTATACCTGGAAATGAATGATTTTAAACTGTTGTGTACTGACTCCACAAATTCTCAAGAGTTATTGCCAGGGCTGTGTTGAAATTTTTTTTAGTATCCCTTTTTAAAAAATAGGGGCACGGCATACCCCTTTTTAAAAACTTTTAAACAAATTTTTATAGTATTTTAGCATAATATCAATATTTTTTATTATAAAATATTTTATAAACAAAACTTGTAATATATTAATAGAATTATACATTTCTAATTCCAAAAACTAATCCTCCCTATTTTAATTGGAGCTTAAAAACAGATGATCCAACAATTGAAATAGAAAACTCTTGTATCCAAATCAATTCATTACCATCTTAATGAATATGCAAAATGGGTTAATGGGTGCTAATTCCAATAAAATATATTAAATTATACAGTGTTATTTATTTAATGACCTTATCTGTGGAATATTTAGAAAAAGAGAACTAGCCACCAGACACTCACATTCATTATGGGGGAGTGTAAATTAAATTACTTTCTTTCAGACTAAATCTCAATGTGGTTCTTGTAATAAATGGTTTCAGGGAATATATTGATGATAATAATGCAATTATTAAATGCCTTTATGAATTGAAAGAGATACAAAATTGTATTAACACAATTTTACGTAGTACTGCCAAATGAACACTTCGTTTACCTTATGAATATCATTATTAACCAATGCATATACATCAAGCCCATGAAAAAATGTAAAAGACCATGTTACGCCATGATGAAAATAATTTAAATATAAAACAAAACATAGGTAACTCTTTTGCAAGCAGACTAAATTTTTAATTTCTCTAATATTAAAGAGTTATTTATAAAATATAACACGTTACCATTCTTTCCAATGCACCCATTAAACCATTATCCAGAGTAGTTAAAATCTCTTTGATAAAAGCTTTGAAAATATTTTATTGTTAAAATCAAATAATATTGTGTTTTAATCAAAGTGTCTAACCTTTTGATATATCAATTCAGTTATGGTTCCAAAAAAAATTATAATTTTCTACAGGTTTCAATTTGGTTAAGGTTCAAGAACCTTCAATTAAGATTTATAAAGGTTCAGTAATGATTATTTTTTATAAAGAGAAGAAAGTTGAGATCTGCAAAGCCCGACCCAACAATCAAAATGAATATTACATTTTTTTATATTTAAAATTCGGGTCGGGCCAGGCGGACAAATAATTTTTATTTTGAATCAAACTTTTTGAGACCAATTAAAAAATTTCGATCGGACCGGGCAGGACAAATTTTTTAGACTAAATCAGGTTTGAAGATTAGACCCGATGCAAATAACTAGTAAAAAGTGTCCAAATTTAGCTTTAATAAAGAATTTAAATCTTATTTTATGATAAATAGAAAGAACGTAACAGTTTTAAATCAACAAAATTTTATTGTCAATTTTTATTGTGTATAAAATTATCATTACGATGATTCGAATATCTAATATATCTTTGTCTAATTTTATCTTTTGTGATATAATATTTCAAGCCCGGAAATTCTCTCGACCGATACTTATGTAGCTGGGAGAGAGATGGCTAATGGATAAAGTTCGAGCTGCTCTAATTTTCTTACTTCCCAATATGCATTTGAAGGAGGTCACAATGTTACCTATTAATCTCTCATTTTGTTCATGTTTTTACTTGTCATTTGCAATTAGCTGTGGTTTGAATAATTATTTTGGTTTAAAATAGTAGAAGGAAATGATCTATTAGAGATTTGCAAATCACGGGTCTATTTTAAAAAAAATCATCGGGCCTAATATTTTTTATAAAATTTCTGGTCGGGCTTAAATTCTTAAATATGATATTATTACATTCTGTCAAATAAATTGATATATTTTAAATTCTTGTAAGAAACAAAGCGTTAATATTTTTTATTAAATCCGGGCCTGATCGGACGGACAAATAAAAAAAATTCGTACGGAATCGAGTCGGACTGGGCAAATTTTCTTATAAAAAATTTGGGTCTGGCTTGAAAAATTAGACTCAATGCTGATCACTATTGTCTATATAGCATATTTATAATGCGCTTCAATTAAATGCCAGGTTCTTATAAAAGTTTCCCAGCCGTTATTTCCGATATATAATAATATTTGATATCCAGACTCTAGATATAACATATATAGGCATTATCTCCCTTGATTTATCATAGTAAATTGACAATTATTTTATTTTAAACATAATTTTGAGAGGAATAGAAAACCTAATTAATTGTTCCGACAGTTGGCGCTTTGTATATAATATATATATAGCGGTTTTTAAAGCTATTACATTTTTGTTGTATCCCATTTCATTTAAATAAATACCGGGATCAGTAATTTGTAGGGATAAATCATTACAAAATTCTTTTAATTCAAGTAGTATTTCTAGTATCGAAAGTGGTATTCAAAGTTTTCAGCAGTGGTTTTTTAAATTTAAGTTTAGTGAGAATAACCATTTGTTTTATTTCTTTTTCTTCTGCAGAGATCTGGTTATATTTATAAGATTCGATTCTTGAGATTTTCAATACAATCATTTATTAATAATAGAAAAAGGTCCACACTGGACATCGATTGCTTGACTTGGGAAGGGCCCATTTTAAATAGGTGGAATATCGGATATAGTATCTGAAAACGAATTTGATAAACTTAAATTTTCATCAAATAATATTTTCATCCCAAATTCATATGTTACTCTTCATTATTAACACTTACAATTCAACATTTTGGTTTAATGGATTTACTAATTTTAGCATTAAAAATACTTATGTTGGGCAAAATGGTTTATAAAATTTAATGGAAAATCATGAGTACGCAATGGCGCAAAAAAAGAACTTTTTTAGGTAGGAACTTATGAAAGGCATAGTTGACAAAAAACTAGAATCAATATCATCTACAATCACAAGCAGTCGTTAAATTAGAAGCAACAAAACTGTCATAAATCGCTTGCAATAAGTGGTTGATAGCAATAAATGGTCAAAATGTTAATGGTATACTAGATATCGATGGATAAAGAAACAGTAGAATCGGTATCCATATGCATATTTGTAAAAAAAAACAATGGTTATTGGTGCACATGGTAAAAACACGAAGGAATTGTTAATGGTATAGTTATCATGGGAAGAAATAAATGGCAGAAAGATTGTTAATGGTAAGGCTGAAAGAAGCAAAAGACAATGAATATCTGTAACATGGAATACAACTTATAAACTATCGTTGGATATACGAAAATAATCATTTTAATTATTAATTTTGTATATAATTGATAATATTTTAGTTTATAAATTAATTATATAATAAAATCAATCTATTACCAGCTTCATCCAGTTAACCATTAATTTTCAAGATTAAATTTTTTTTTTTTATTTGACTCATTTTCTTAACCCTAGTATTTGGGAATCTTTAATGGTTTTTGGTGATTTTAATTTACCAGAGCACCCAAAATTTTTAAAAAATCGGATAATTTTTTGAATTATCTAATTTATTGAATACTCTAACAGAAAGCCCGTCAAGAATGACTGAAGAATCAGAATTTTCTACTTTATTAAATGATGAAAAAATCAAAAAATTTCCTATGTTATGAGGTAAGAAGAAATTTACTCTTGATCAGATAAATCAGAAATTTTTTATAAAATATGTTAATGAAATCTATATTTAGTACCTTCGACATGAATAAATAATTGAAACATATTTATAAATAGAAAATAAGATATACAAAACCCTCATCTATCAAGATTAAAATTTTAGGTCATGAATTAAATATGAATTATAAAAATTTAGTCGAAAGTTTTATATATTGTGCAAATAGACAATTTTTTCAGATAATGAAAATCGATATATTGAAAACAGTATATTTATAGGTTTCAATTATTTGTTCAAGTTGAAGGTACTACTAAATATAGACTTCATTAACCTTTTATCTGATCAAAATAATGGTAAATTTGTTACTCACACCTCATAAGATAGGAAATTTTGGATTTTTCCAAATTAATTAGAGAAAATTCTATTTTATCTGTCATTTTTGACGGGCTTCTACAAGTATTATAAAAATAATAAATTAAATTCGGGTTTACCTTCCATCATAAAAGTAAATTTATTATATAAAATAGGAAATTTCTGATTCTTCTCGAATAAAGGAGAAAATTGTCATTCACACGCCATTCTT